CAATTAATTCAATAGAGGAGCACAAATCAGAATGTGCAAACACAATCCTGTTAAACCACCAAGAAAGGAAAAAAATAGAAACTCTTTTATTTTAGAACCATTTCCTGTCACAGTAGGTTTTCAACATCATTCGTTCATCAGAAAATTGAAGTGCAAGTCAAAATTAGCCGTGATGTGCGTTCATACTATTGATTGAGTGAGGAAGGGTCTTGTATGACAACAAAGGCAGATTTCCCATAACAAGCAGAGGCCCAGTGCCAAGAAGCTTCAAAGGAAAAACAAATGACGTTATTGATGGTCAGTGGAGATGGAATGGAGATTTGACAAGAAGATGAAAAGTTTCCAAAACAACCTCAACCCACTCATGCAGGCCTGTGCATGCAAGTTCATGCAGAGCACATTTCTTTGACAAGTCTAATGTTAAACTTGCACACACTTTCTTGTTCCCGCTGGCTGATATGTGAGCATGTGAGAAGCTTTGCAGGTCAGTTTGACAGGACAATGAGGAATTTGATCATTAAGAATGAACAGAGGTCAGAAATCAGGAATACATTTTCATTTCTGAGCTAAATATGGGCAAAAAAGGTGTACAATTCTGCTGCTCTAAAACTGTGTGCATGACTTATTAGGGTGCTATAAGTGGTGGACAGTAACGGAGTAGTTTTACTTCGTTACTCTACTTAAGTACATTTTTCAAGTATCTGTACTTTACTGGAGTAGTTTTATTTTGAGTAACTTTTACTTTTACTTCACTACATTCCAAAGCATAAGATCGTACTTTTTACTTCACTACATTTCATAAAACATATCGTTACTCCTTATAATATATCACGTGCTCTGACACGCAGAAGCGGTGTCTGATTCAAGAACGAACTGATTATTTTCAATGAACCTTTTAAATCGGTTCGCAAATCACACCAAACGATTCATTCAAGAATTGGAATGATCCGATTGCAGCTGTTCCCGAGTCGACAACTCACTGATTCAAATGAACCATTTAGTGCGAGTCTCCAGTGAACTGAATTCACAAGTAAGAACCGGGAGATCTTGTGAGCGCACGC